TGAACACGATAATCAAACGCACAATTTGGCTTTTGGTTTATGGCCAAACAAAATGTAAACAAAACCTTGCTAAAAATATAACACGAGCAAGAACAGTGAATGAAATAAATCTACGAAGAATGGATCACAACCCCAAATAAGCTGATGCCACAAATATTTCAAATGCAAGATACTACAACAAAGCAAAGTATCATTCCATAATACTCAAAGTTGATAACTTCTGTATTTCTTATCGGTTTTATATATATAATATATTAAATTAATCATTTTTTGATGATCTTCGATTTGACATCCATATTGTATATATGAAATAAATAAATTATGTTTATCTTTGTAATAATAAAAAATAATAATATTTACTAAAATTTATTAGAAAAATAAAATTATTCTCAACTGATATATTTATGTTTAATGTAGTTATATGTTGTAAGTTAAAAATTATTATAATATAAGTAAGTCGCACAAATAAAAAGTGTCCTACTAAGTATAATAATATAAATATTTTTAAAATTTATATAAATTTTCAACTACCTGTTTTCAGTAATTTTAGATTTTAAGAAAAAAAAATTAGCAAGCACTCGTGTAATACACGGGCGTTGTACTAGTATTATATAATAGTTATTGCTAATAACAAATAATAATAATTTACAATAAATATAAATTACCTAACTATAAACAATTGTTTCAAGTTATTTATATTAACATCATATTATCTTTTTCTTTTGTATCTCATGAAAAAAATTCTTTAAAAATACTTAGTAAATTGTTTTAATAGCATAGTTAAACAACTTTAGAATCTTATATACAATTGTTTCTTAATAATAATAATAATAATCAAAACTATTATCATATACTGATAATAAACAATTGCTAATAATAATAATAAAATCGTTAATTTATTTTTCCTAATGATCAAATTTTTAAAAATGTAATATGTTCATTATCTAGAATTTTAATATTAAATTCTCAAATATTACTTAGAATATTTTATGTACATCTGTGCATGTGCACATGATATCTACCAGTAAGCTTATAAAGTATGACAATATATATAATGTAGGTAATAATAGACATCATGTACCAACAATCAGACAGAAGAATGATAGATGCTATAGAAAATTTGGGTAATATATTTGGACGTCCTTGTGAATTTATGAATAATTTATTACATGAATTTTAGATACTTAAAAAATGACCCACCCAAATCACAACAATATTTAGATTGTGAGAAGAAGCTACCTATAAAAGTTTTCGAGTTGAAGTGTGTTGTTGTATTGAATTTAACAACTATAATACGGTGTAATTAAAGCGTAAAAAAATGAGATTGTATTCTTTATGAGTAATTGTGAGTACATGAAGTGGGTATATGTGTAAACCGAGCTTATTTTCATGTGTGTATTAAATGCGTGTTATGCGTAAAAAAAGGTCCGTTTACACATATACCGACTTCCTGTACTCAGCAATTACTCAAAAATAACACAAAGTCTCCACTTTTTACGCTTTGATTACATCGTATTATAGTTTTTGAATTCCATACAACGTAGGCAAATTAAATTGATTGATTGTGAAATGATTTAAATATCACATATTTTTTTCTTGTGTTTTTTATGTGGGATATATTTCCTTGGCAGATATATTTCCTATGTGGCGCAAATTACAAATTAGGCATTTAGGTAAAACAATTAAACACTTAGGAAAATTAATAAATTGAACACATAGGGGAAAATAAAATAAGACTTGGACACCTAATGCACATAGCACCCAATCACATAGGCACAAAATAAAATAATTATATAGGCCAATAATCAAGTAATCACTTAGGAAAATAATCAAACAATCACTTAAGTAAATAGTCAAATAATTAATAATCACTTAAGCAGATTATTAACAAAACACAATTAACATTAGGACAATCAAAACAAACAAGATCAATTAAGAAGAAATAAATAACATGATTTAAATTTAGTCGAGCCATGTAATATTATGATTTAATAAAATAAAACGGGAAGAATAATTTCTTACCATTTGCAGTGAAAACATTTCTCTTTCGAGAGTCGTCAGATTTAAATTTTTAATTTCCCTTTTAACGAAAATTAAGTCACCACACAACTCTCGAGCTTGAAGAATTTCCATTGTTAACTTAAGTCTATTACATAAGCCATCAGCCATTAACCCTATTATTCTCTTACGCAAGTAATTAATAACTGAAGGTTTGATTAATTAAGTGCGTTGCTTACAAAAAGATACACATCAGGTTTGACGCAATCACAAAAAAATAAAGAAACATCCAACTTTTTGAAGTTAATTACATAATATAATATTTGACTATTTTCTTGGAATTTATAACAGCCACGTAAATAATTAAAAAATTATTAAATAAATTATAGACTAATAATTAATAGTCATAATATGCTATTATTTTATACTTTTTATAAAAAAATATGAAAATATTTTGCAAATATTTTCACATAAAAGTTTTACAAATATTTTTAAGATGGATTGAAATTATTATCAACACACACTCCATAACATATACTAGAGTTTTTTTAAATGTTATACTATAGTTTTTAAATGTTATTATACACCACTATATATAATTTTTTAAGATGGTTGGATTGAACTACTCCATGTAACATGTACAATAGTCTTTTAAATGTTATCTCTATATATATAGATTATAAATTTTTAATGTTAACGAATCAATATTCTTTTTAATAAAATATTAAGTATATTTTGCAATCATTTATTTTTTTAAGATTGTTTAATTGATAAAGTCTTCAGAAGGATTTGATAGATGTCGTTAACTAGCTTTTATATATTTAAACCGTTGATGGATTACTATTGGTTGATTCTAAAAGATGCGTTGTTGTCATATTACCTCGATCCGCGTCTTAACTAATGCAAACCGTTGGTAGATATTACGCGTCAAATATATTATGCATTCCTATTGGCTATTTCAACTCCTTTATCAAGAAAAATACTCAAAAGTTAACCATGGGGACCGCAAAATCCTTCAGACTACGTGAAAGCTTTGGAAAATAGAGCGTGAGTTGGAGGATTGTGGCAGGAAGCTTGAACGTGGCCCCTCTCCAAGGAACAAGACGCAACCCGATATGTTGAATGACAAATGATTTGTATATGATGAAAAAAGTTAGTTAGCTAACCTTGAGAAAGATATGAAATCGAAGAAAATATAATGATAATGAAAATTCTTTTTTGCTCCACCTTCGAGCTAAAACATATGATGTAAGAACAAGAGATAAAATCTTGGTTATTGTTACTCATGAGGAAATAGAAAAAGTACAACCAAGGTGTGATCAAACTACATGTTGGATTATTTGTATAATTTTCCAAGTTTTAGTTGCTAAAAAAATATATACAACCTCATTGTTTTAACAGTTAGATGGGCACATATGATGTAAGAACAAGAGCTAAAATCTTGGTTATTGTTTGAGGCGCAAGACTCATGGGGAAATAGAAAAAGTACAACCAAGGTGTGATCAAACTACATGTTGGATTATTTGTATAATTTTCCAAGTTTTAGTTGCTAAAAAAATATATACAACCTCATTATTTTAACAGTTAGATGGGCACCTTATTGAAGCTTGCTTGTTATCTCCGTGTTTAAATAGGGTTGCAACCTTCAAGTGCCACTTTTCTAGATTATTGCCTTTGTATTTTAAATATGTTAGATTTCCCTAATTTTGATGCACGCATATTTTCTCTTTGAAGATACAGTCAAGACAAGGCAAGGCAACGATGAGAAGGGGAACTAAAAGGAGGACGACACACAAGGACGAGCCCCGAAGAAGCTAGCGGCAGAGGAGGAGCGGAAAAACGAGTAGAACCAGTCTGTGAGACGGACAATAGAAATGAATAGGATGGCGCACAAGGACGAACCCTGAAGAAGCTAGCGGCAGAGGAGGAGCTGAAAAAAGAGCCAAACCAGTCTCTCGGGCGGACAATAAATGAATCACTTGACGGAGAGCAAATTGAACTAAATCATATTGGATACAATTTTTTTTTTTTTTAAAAGTGCGTGTAATTAATTATAAGATAAATCTTACAATTAATTTTTTGTCAAATTATAACTTGATTACTGATTAAATTTGAGCCGGTTGTGCGTGCACAGCCGAAAGGCAACTAGTAATAATATATGAAATTATGAATGGAGAAAGAACCTATGAGGATAAAACAAGCATATTATCGATTTCAAGCGTAGAAATAAATCAGATAGCAAAAAGAGTAGAAAAAAAAAAATCAAAGAAGAAGACAGAAAGAAAATCAGCAATTGTTTAAGAATAATATGTAATTTTCAAGATAAAAAAAATTGACGGAATCAGGATATATACCTATGGTGGTCTATTATAGAGTATCTAATGCATTTAGTAATAGGGGTGTTAGCGGTGGTTACGGTCCTACTATTTCTCGAATCCGTTTTCGACCTACTGATGCGTCCGATTCGATCCTATTGTTTCTCGGGTCCGATCGACCCAGTACGTTATCAGATATCAGTGTTTTAATTTTGATAAGAAATGGAATATATTTGAAGTTTGTAGGGTAAGATGCAATTCATACATTGATTGTCTAATTTTTATCATTGGATAATGTTAACTTTTGATAACAAATAGAATATATTTCAAGTTGGATCGTCTAAATTATCATTTAATAGGGTTAACTTTTGATAACGGTGAAGTAAATAAATCCACGAAGAATGGATCACAATGCCACAAATATTTTCAAATGCAATATACTACAACAAAGCAAAGTATCATTCCGTAATACTAATAAACAATACAAGTCACAATAACACAAGACGAGAATAAATCACACCAGGTTCTAATATAGATCACCAAGAAAACAAGAGTATTAAACACAGAAATGGCTAGCATAAAAATAAGCTTATGTGCTTAGGTACTAGCGGCTCCAGCTGCTGTTTGGCGTAAACCTTTGCTATTTCAGCCAATTTTAATTGCTCAGTATCAAGTGGTTCGTAGGCCATGCGTCGAGGATTTTGGGTATCAACAATGATTTCCTTAAGCGCGACACAGTTCTCCAACAAGTAGTTGACTAATTCAACGTCACTCGGGCAACCATAATAACCTAAAAACCGAAAAACATTCAGATGCTGGTGCAGTGGGAAGTGCTTCAATCCCTTCTGAATTTCGTTGTTTGACCTTTCAACCATAGACCACCTTTGCTGCCCATACAAAGTGAAAATAAATTAAGTTCATATACTAAGTTAACACCTATAAATAGTATAAGACAACAAATACAGGTTGCAAAGCCATTCAATGATAACGAGATGCAGGGATAATATTTACAAGGACGAACCTGTATCTCAAATTCTCGCAGGTTGGGAGATGCACTGATAAAATGAGATAGGCCAAGAAGACTCGAGTCCACACCATGTAAAGCTTCAATGATGACCAACTTCTTAAGTTTAGGCATCATGGGGAATTTGATCATCCATAGAAGCTCCTGCAATAACAAATAAATAAAGTTTCTTTTTTTTCTTTTTCTTTTAGAAAAACGTCCAATAAATATTATTTTCCAAATAATTTCATGTTAGTATTGGTGATTTGACAATCATTTGTGTACTATACGACCCAACAAATTTAACGACGTGATGATTGTCAAATCAACAATAGAGCTCCAGTATCACGTTTTATATTTACTTTACAATCACTAAGCTCCATTAAGTGAAAATTAAACCAATTCAGAAAGACACCTTACCTTCCTATTACCAATGTTCAAGGTGAGAATCTCCAATTGGGAAAGACAGCAAAGCAATGTAGGAATTAATCTCTCTACATAAAAAGAAGTAGGGTCCACAGAGGTCACATTAACACTAGTAAGCATTGGAACATCCTGAAGCAAGACGCCTTGTATTTTATACAGCCTAAGTGAAGTTAGATTCGGAGCAGAAATTCTTAAGGATTTTAAATAACGGCACATCCATATCTCCAAATGCTTTAATACAAGGGATGGTCCACAAACTTCAAGGCGTGTCAATGTATTAGAGGCACGGACAATTAACTGCTCCAGCAATGGGCAGCCACGTAACAGAAACTCAATAGTTTCACCAGAGATATTAACACAGTCCAAGGACAACATCTTTAAGGACTTACAGTCGAAAAATCTACTAGATTTGTAAGGATGGTCTGAACTGATATTACTGCATAACTCTCGAGGAAACGAGTACACTTCATGTGGGTGATGAACATATTCCCCATCTGAAAGGTTCAACTCCAACTTTTCAATGTGCCTCTCAAAAGCAAATTCAAGCCACTTCGTAATTGACTTTCCTGCTGATTTTACTAAACTAAAGCATATTCGTAATTCTTTCACAGTGGACCCTCGGTGTGATTGGAGAACCGAATCCACCCACTTTACATACTTTTCCCTCTCGACACTGCGAAATTCTGGGTCCTCGATAATCTTCTCCATCGAAGTATAGTCATCAAAGTTGAGATGTGAGGTGTAACTCCACAGGTTTCTCCAACGAGAAGAAAGAACACTTGTTCGCCCAGCTTCTTTCAATGTGAGGAAAGACAGGATAACAAGGAGAATGTCATCGGGTAATCGACTTATAAGATTATCACCATGGTACCTCTCAACACACTGTCAAGCAAACACACCATAACCCATTAAGAATACAATAACCAACAAGTTTATAATGTGATGATTATCTCTACTTCAATTTAAAATTCAATTTCTTAAATGTGCGCTATAATTTGCATTTGTACAAA